TTACTAGGAAAGGGATAGAAAATAACACCCAGAATATCTTATTGCCCCTGTATAAAACTATGGTACGCCCACATCTTGAATACTGTGTACAGATGTGGTCTCCTCACCTCAAAAAAGATATTTTGGCCTTGGAAAGGGTTCAGAAAAGGGCAACTAAAATGATTAGGGGTTTGGAACGGGTCCCATATGAGGAGAGGTTAAAGCGACTGGGACTTTTCAGTTTAGAAAAGAGGAGACTGAGGAGGGATATGATAGAGGTCTATAAAATCATGAGTGGTGTGGAGGGGGCCGATAAAGAAAAGTTATTTCTTAGTTCCCTAAATAGAAGAACTAGAGGACACCAAATGAAATGAATGGGTAGCAGGTTTAAAACTAATAAAAGAAAGTTCTTCTTCACACAGCGTGTAGTCAACCTGTTGAACTCCTTGCCAGAGGAGGCTGTGAAGGCTAGGACTATAATAGAGTTTAAAGAGAAGCTAGATAATTTCATGGAGGTTAGGTCCATAAAAGGCTATTAGCCAGGGGATAAAATGGTGTCCTTGGCCTCTGTCAGAGGCTGGAGAGAGATGGCAGGAGACAAATCGCTTGATCATTGTCTTCGGTCCACCCTCTCTGGGGCACCTGGTGCTGGCCACTGTCGGCAGACAGGCTACTGGGCTAGATGGACCTTTGGTCTGACCCAGTATGGCCATTCTTATGTTCTTATATCAGGGATGATCTAGACAGTACTGGGTCCTGCCATGAGGGCAGGGGACTGGACTCGATGACCTCTTGGCCCCTTCCAGTTCTAATGTTCTATGAGTGCACCCACCCAGGCACTAGAAAATGTTAACAGCTGCATTTTTGCTAAGAGTAGTCGTGTCATTTAAACATAGGAGTTTCTTCTTTTTTTGGCAATGTCCTGTTTTTACAGTGTCCTAAGTAAGAATCCTTCCTGGCCTTAAACAGGAAGACGTACAAAACAAGTGATGATCTGTCTGTTTCACTAAGTTGGTCTCATATCTGTATCTTTCTCATCTTTTTCACCCATGTAATTTTTGCTGCACCGTCTCTCAGTATCGAATGGCGAGTAAAAGATAAAACAGCCCCTTCCCCAATAGAGGAGAGTAGCAGCTTATTCTAATCCAATATTTTTCTTATTTCTTCACACTTAGAGAAGTCAAGATTTTTTAAGTTGTGTCCTGCTTCAAGCACCTCTTTTTACAAATACTTAGAACTACTATACAGTAAATATGTACCCCATGCTTCTCTATCAGGTTACCTAATAAAGTGCCTAATTTAAAAATAGTCCTTCAGTTAGGGGAAAAGGGCTAATGAGGATTCGACAATAACTTTTTTTAAATACCTGAAATATGCCTGTGTAATTTGCCACCCACGGCTCTTGAGTATTTTCAAACGAGGCATCCAAGTAATAAATAACCATTTATTCAATAATTAAATCAGATATTTTCTTACAAGGTGTTTCTTAAGCGTGTTTAAACATTAAGAAACAAATTTGATATTTGCATTAAAGTATCAAATGAGCAGTATGCAGTGGTATGTCTGTGTTGGTCATTGATTTATGAGAGAGAGGTGGGTGAGGGTAATATCTTTTATTGGCCCAACTTCTGTTGGTGAAAGAGACAAGCTTTAGAGCTGCACAAAGCTCTGTGGAGCTCAAAAATGGGTCCTTTTTACCCACTGAAGCTGATCCAGTAAAAGATACTGCCTCACCCACGTTGTGTCTCTCAAATCAAGTCTAAGCAGTTTTAAACATTGAGTAAAAAGAATTCATCTTTGTTCTTGAACACTGAGAAATTGCAGTTCAATTTTCTTTAATCTTTTAGAGTATTTTTAAAATGTGTGGGATGCTATACTGAGTAATTAAAATAATTGTACATATATAGCACTCTCTTCTTTACCAACACATGAATTGCTATTAAACTGAAGTTATATTTGCCCTTGATCAGACACTGGGGGTGTGTCTAGACTACAGGGTTTTGTCGACAAAAGTGGCCTTTTTGAGACTACAGAGTTCTGTCAACAGAAGGCGTTATTGCATCTACACTGTCCTTTGAGTCTACACTCTCATATCGACAAAGCGGCTTGCTTTGTCGACAGAACTGGATGTAGTCTAGACGCCAAAGCCTCTGTAGACAAAAGCCTGTAGTCTAGATGTACCCTAAATGAAGGACTAGTAAGGAGTACCTCCTCAGTTAAAAAACCCCTACAATTTCAGAGGAGTAGTACTATGGAAGTATTTCTTTCAACACGGGATCCCATCATATAATTAAAGCTGTGGTTAAATGATATTCCTGTTTTATTTTTGAAGGCGGATGTGCAGATGGAAGGGAGCTAGAAATTTTTTAAATTTGAAATTTCAAAAATTCTTTGGGGGCCATATTTGACCTTGCTTATTTTAGATTCTTTATGAAGTTTACAAGGAGGAAATTAGTATTTTAGTGTTTGACTAATTTCCAATATATTTTTTCAGTTTTCTGTTTGTCAACGAACTAACAAAATAATAGAACATACGAGTTTCATACATTAGGTATATAGTCTGCCTTTTTCTCCTTGTAGATCTCACATCAGCTGATTGTTGATTATGTTGCTCCATTCAATCAGAGAGCCTCCGTTCTTTAATGGGTCTTCTAGTGCAGCGTCCCATACTTTTATCAAAGAGATTAATTTAGACTTCAGTGGAACTGCACATGACAGAAAAGTACTCGTTAACAGATCCGATTGCAAGTTTGTGCCATGAGACTATGGCCCAGTGATAATGAATCACAGATATATCATTTTGCTCTGTTCAAGAGAGAGGAATTTTACAATCCATTTCAATTGCTAGGATATTACCGTAAAGGAGTATTTCTTCTGCTGGCATATTTATATATTCCATTATAAAAATAGGTTAAAAGAAGATTAAAGCTACAAAGCAATTATTCAGAAGTTAAGAAATACCAAAATACAGGTTGCCTATGCAAGTGTCACGTCAGTTAAAAATCCAAAATGGCATCACTTTGACGGTAGGGCAAAGCTGGGTGTAGTGTTACAGATTCCTACCATTTGTGACTAGTGAGATTCTAGTGCTTTTTTGGCTTGAATCAGTGTTGTGCTAATTGGGGTTTTCTAATGAATAAAATGTGTGGTCATGATGATGTAATATTTACATGATATTGTTGCCATGTTTGCACTGACTTGCAAAACTAGCAAATTGGAGGGACTTTCCCCTTTCTCTATATTTGCCAACTCCTGTCGGGAAACTGGGCCTGCAGAGCTTTGTATGCTACAAAATAAGCCACCAACAGCACATGTGTGTTAAGAATAATAGGACATTTTAGATGAATCATTCTGTTTCACATCATTACCCTTCAGAACCTAAGTATGGGCTACAGAATAGACCTGCAGGAATAGGAATGTACTCAGGAAGGTATGAGAGATGGCATAGCTGCTATGTTTTAGTAATCTTACCTTGGATTGGCTGAATACAAAAGGGAGGATTTGATGTCTGTTTGTATTGTAAATGTGTTGTCCTGGGATAGGACAGACAAAACATTTTATTGGATTGATTTCTGTTTTGACAAAATTTGGTCCAATAAAAGATATCACCTTGCCCCCCTGCATCTAATGAAATGGCAAGAAACTGTTTTTTCTTTGAACAGGATACCATACTCCAAGAGGCTCTGGGAGACAGACCGATAGTCTCTTATAGACAACCACCTAACCTCAAGATGATTCTTACCAACCACCACAGGACATACCACGCTAATACCAACCCTGGTACCTTCCCTTGCAACAAACCCCGTTGCCAGCTTTGTCCACATATTCATTCTGCTGATACCATTATTGGACCTAACCAAGTGAGTTATAAGATCAAGAACACATATTCCTGCGCATCCAGAAATATAATCTACGCTATCATGTGCCGAAAGTGTCCGTCTGCTATGTACATTGGACAAACATCTCAGACACTTCGCCAAAGGATTAATGCCCACAAAACAGATATCAGACAAGATCACAAAGAAAAAACAGTTTCTTGCCATTTTAACCAGAAAGGACACTCTCTCAATGACTTGACCACCTGCATTCTGCTACAAAGACCTTTTACATCTGCACTTGAAAGGGAATCCTCTGAACTGTCATTCATGTTAAAATTCGACACTTGCCAACAAGGACTTAACAAGAATTTGAACTATCTCACCCATTACCAAGACAGTTTCCCCAATTATCACCTGTAATACCATTAACTCACAAACATCCTCCTGTTCTGAAATGTGATTTGTCCTTTTCATATGTGTTCATTTTTTTTAATTGTATCCTTTGGTATATATGGTTGTGACTACTTTCTTCCACTATTTGATCTGAGGAAGTGGGTCTGGCCCACGAAAGCTCATCATCTAATAAACTATCTTGTTAGTCTTTAAAGTGCTACATTGTCCTGCATTTTCCCATGGATTTAGTGAGAGTTGGATCAGTCCTTCACCAGTTTGCTACAGGTTAACCTTTCCAGTCTGGCACCCCCAGGACTTGACCATGGCGAACCAGAGAATTTACCAGACCATGGGAAATCAGTATTGTCTAGCAGCATTACCAACACTTCCATTACTTACTGGAATGTTAGAAGGCATTTAGGGATAAAATACAGCTAACTAACAGAATACTGAGAGTCAGGCCCTAAACAAAATTTATGGGACCTCAGGAAACTTGGCCATGCCCGGAAGAGGATAATCCAACTAACTAAAATCATTCCAGACCGCAGGTGTTGCTGGACCAGAGTGTGCCGGATTAGAGAGGTTCAACCTGTAGTGAAAACTTTTTGCAAAAGGTATTGACTTTTCCTGTCATCTTTGGATAAATTGAAAAGAATCTGAATATGCTCTAATATAAATAACTACTAGGCAGTACAGAACTTTAATCTCTTTCAGCATTCTTATTTTGACAGGATTTTTCAAGCATTTCTTTAAAATGACACATTGTTCATACTGTTTTTCACTTTTTGTCTGCTTTGTGTCAAATTGCAGATACTGGTTTGGGAGATTCTGTGTGTTCAAGTCCAAGTATATCCAGTACTACAAGTCCCAAGCTGGATCCTCCTCCCTCCCCTCATGCCAACAGAAAGAAACATCGTAGGAAGAAAAGCACTAGCAATTTTAAAGCTGATGGGGTCTCAGGTGCTGCTGAAGGTAAGCTTTCTATGCTGTGAGGAAATCTAGATTACCAACGGTTTTCCATTGTCCTGAAAACTTCTGAAAACTTCCAAGTGCTGTCTTGAATCTCCATTGTTGGATACGACTTTAACTTGATTGCTAGATTTGTATCTTTAAAGGTGAACAGAAACACATGTAAAGAGAAATCCAGCAATCCAACCTTTTCATGAAAAGCTGAATAGCAAAAGAGACATCATAAGAGACAAATTTCTGTGATCTTAAAATCTTGTTTCATCAAATGGTGTTTGGTTTTTAGAAATGTACCCAACCTGTTAGATAGTCATGTGCACATGTGTCTGGCATTCTGGGTAGCACAGATGAGGCCAAAAGTAAGTTTTTATAAGGCCAAAAGTAAGTTGACATGTATACAGTAGCAAGTGTATTGTATTAAAATGTAAACATATCCAATATGCACAGCTTAAATCCTATATTATCCATGATCATTGAGTATACCCCATGTGCCAGAGCCAGAGATCAATGCTTTTGATGCCTGCTATTGTTTGTAAGAACTAGATGGAAAAAGCCAGATGAGCTATGATGTTCCCTTAGTTTATCTTAACATTTCCAATGCATCTTTCTCTGTATATATACATATACATGAAGAGAGAGAGAAAATGCACGCATGCTAGATATGATATAAAAATATACTTACCACTGTAGAAAAGAATAGAAACATTTTACAATTCAGCTGATTGCGCGTCAGGAAAAAAAAGAACTAGGGTAGTGGGAAAGCATAGAACTGGAGTGTCAAAAAGGCAAGAGTGGAAGAAGAGTGTGAAGAAAACTGTTAAAGGGTAAAATTGAATCAATATCAAAGAACGAGGGGGCAAGTTCCAGAAAAGGGACGACAGTTTCAGGCATCTGTGGAGACATTCCAGTAGAGTTAGGATAGTAGTATATACCTGGGCAGGGACATGTGAAATACCACAGTCATTTGTGTTTTCCATTTTAATTTCTGTCACCTCTGGATTATACTTATTTCCATAACTGCAAATGTGAATTCATTGTTGAAAACCTGGACTTTGTCCATAACAACTTGTGCTGCTTTTTTGCCAAGTTGTATCATCTTTACTGTTGGATTCCCCCTTGTTTATGGCCGTGGAAAGCCAAATTTCATTTTAAATTTTCATTTTTTACTTGTTCTTTTTCTGCTCCACTTGATGCATTATTTGCACGTAGGGCTGCCAGGTGTCCGCGGTTGACCCAGACAGTCTGGTATTTTCGCCTCCTGTACGGTAAAAAAAAAATTCGGAAAACACCAGACACCTAAAATGTCAAGTTTTTTCTGGAGTTTTTTTTCCCTGCTAGGAGGTGAAAATACCAGACACCTGGGCAACCCTTTCTTTTTCTGCTCCACTTGATGCATTATTTGCACGTAGGGCTGCCAGGTGTCCGCGGTTGACCCAGACAGTCTGGTATTTTCGCCTCCTGTACGGTAAAAAAAAAATTCGGAAAACACCAGACACCTAAAATGTCAAGTTTTTTCTGGAGTTTTTTTTCCCTGCTAGGAGGTGAAAATACCAGACACCTGGGCAACCCTT